AAAAAAAAAAGTGATATTTCAAAGTTATTAGTGGTATATGATCACCTCAAAGAAAGAAAGTTAATGATCAATTTGCTGCAGATAGATTTAAGCACACAAATTCATTTCATCCATCAAATTAGTGTATGAATCATTTACCAATGCTGACTACTCTTCATATTATTAGTGATTTACTATCCAGGTATGTCATGACAAGGCACAGTTGGAAAATTAACTAGCTGCTCATATAATAGTTTTCTATTTTATTTTTAGTATATGATTACCTGTTCATATTAATGGTTTGTTTACATTAGACGTTATCGTAAAATCTGCAAATAAATATGTATATATGCTAACCCTGTAAATGTCACTGTGAAGGAAAGTAGTAATGGCATGTACTTTTAATCCATCATAAAAATTCAGGATGTGGAATTGGTAAATGCTAAACACTTTAATTATCTTAGTATATGGATCAGTTAGAACAAATTTAGTATAGCAAATAAAGTAATTGGACATAAGGCTGTGTTCGAGCTAGTTTCAACACACCAATTTTAAAAGAAATTTCTCTTAAAACAATATATCAAGAAAATAGGTTTACTCTTTTCAGTATTGATGAGGATTTCCTTCCTAACCTTTTGTTTGAAGTAGCGTGGAACATCAACATCTTGATTATGTCAATATTCTCTCAAGTTAAATGTGCTATGCATTTGTTATGCAGTGGTTTCACAGTGGAGGCTTGTATTTGTACTAAGTCGGTCCTAAAATAGCTTTGACGTACAAAACGTTAGGAACTTGATATAATAGGTAATGATATAGCAATCTAGTTGTGGTGGCTGATACTTTAATATCCAACTAACAGTTGTCCAACATCGACTGACTGACCAACTCACTGAGCGACTCACTTGTTACTCTTACTACTCCTACTTATTATAGGTGGTAGAGTCTATTAACTATAGAATACATGTGTTCCACTATAACAGCATTTTAGCTCAGTTGAAAGTTCTCAAGTGATGTGGTTTCTGTTATTCGGCATAGTTCTTGGTTTGTCATTCTCTCAAGCCACTACAAAATGCTCAAAAAGGGATGGTCTTTGCCAAGATTAACAGGCTTCACTCATTCAGTGATTTTTAGCCATTGACCTTAGAAAGTGTTTGTACAGAGGTGACAGTTTAGGTAAATTGGAACAGGTTTGGTGCCTTGCATGACATCCATAATAAAGTCTTGATCTGATGAGGTGACCCTATGCTATTTATCATAATAAGAAATAATATCAGAATAGATGTTAAAACCATCTACATGGCCTTGTAGGTGATGAATTATTTTCCTCTCTACAGCCCCTCTTCCACAGATGAAACCACACAAGCCTCTCACTACTATTTCCATGGCAAGCGTTCAGTTCAGACCTTTACAGATAATACGCCCTTGCTATATACCCTGGGACAAATTATTCCCACTCCCTTTGTATTCCATTAGTAAGAAGGAAGTTCTATTCAGACAACTTTTTTTCCAAGAGCTGCTGCTCTGTGTTACTTCCAAGGGGACATTATCCCATTTGGTATAATCTTAACCTCTTCAAGTCTGGGGTCAACCATTATCTATCCTACATATCATCATAATCTGCACTTTTCCCTTTGCCTCATATGTGCATACAACAGTGTCATTTCATAAATCTCTATCTTGAGTAGATCTTTGTAAACAATTAGAAAAAAAAATGTATAAAAAAGTTGTTCTCTTGCATTTTTTCTTCTATTTTTTTTTTAAGACAAAAGCAAATGAAAAATGTCTACAAACATTTATGTGGTTTCTGTTATTTGGTTTGTGATTCTGTAGTACCAATCCACAAGTTTTGAAGAAGATTGATTTTCACTAAGAGATTTATTCTTCATTTGATCAAAGCTATTTTTAACCATTGATCTGAGAAAGCTGTATACCATTGACAGTTTAGATACTTCTGAATTAGTTTGGGGTGATGCAGGACTTCTGTATCAAATTCTCAATCTTATAGATGGATAGAAAGATAGATAGATAGATACACACATACATAATAGATAGATAAAAACATAATAGACAGATAGAAACATGATAGATAGATAGAAACATAAGATAAATGCACAGAAACATAATAAGATGGAAACAAATAGATAACAAGATAGACGCATAATTAGATAGAAACATAGATATGAAACATAATAATTAGATATAATAGATATGAACTGACTTAGATAGACATAAATTAGATAGAAACATAATAGATATGAACTGATTAGATAACGCATAATTAGATAAAACATAATAGATATGAACTGACTTAGATAGACATAATAGATATGAATTAGATAGAAACATAATAGATATGAACTGACTTAGATAGAAGCATAATTAGATAGAAACATAATAGATATGAACTGACTTAGATAGACGCATAATTAGATAGACGCATAATTAGATAGAAACATAATAGATATGAACTGACTTAGATAGACGCATAATTAGATAGAAACATAATAGATATGAACTGACTTAGATAGACGCATAATTAGATAGAAACATAATAGATATGAACTGACTTAGATAGACGCATAATTAGATAGAAACATAAAACATAATAGATAATGAACTAATAGATTAACTGATAGATAGACATAATTAGATAGAAACATAATAGATATGAACTGACTTAGATAGACGCATAATTAGATAGAAACATAATAGATATGAACTGACTTAGATAGAAGCATAATAGGAAAGATAGTTATGAACATAGGTTATTAACATGACTCAACTTTATAGGTTACTGTTTTGATTTTGCTTTTGTAGCAACTTGCTTTATCCAACACTGTTAATGTGTTTCATATACCTGTTATAATTTCCACAGAAATAAATACCATGCATTAGTTTGGGGCATCCATTGTGCACATCCCCAAACATAGATATAAATATGTTTGTGTATATGGATCTACACACACACACACACATATATATATATATATATATAAAGGAATATAGTTTTAATGTGTGCTATTTATGGGATAAAGTGCTCAATATCAGAGATAGACCATATGTAAATCTAAATCTAAAAGTGAACATCGAAGTCAACACTCAAAGGCGACAGGCCTTTTCATGCTGGATGCAATCGTCCAGCATGAATGCAGCCTGACAATTGTGTCCAGTATGAAACAGCCTCTCGCTTCTGAGTGTTGAGTTAAATGTTCACTTTTATACATATATATATATATATATATATATATATATATATATATATATATATATATATATATAATATATTATTCTTATAAACATTATATTTAGAGGATACATGTGTTTGAGTAGACAGACCTGTTTCGTTTTTTTTTTTTAAACAGTGAAATTAATGCCAACTGACCAAAAGACTGGCTGATTGATTGATTTTCTATGGCTTATCAACTCTTTGCAGATTATTTAAAGCCAGAGAATACTTTTAGATTGTAAGAATTTTTTATTTTGTGATAATAATAATTTATTATTACAAGTCTTACTAATGAAGCTATTGTTGGGGGGGGAGAAGTAGCAGATTAATATGTTTCGCAAGAGTATTTGCATTTAAGAGAATCTAATGAACCTGACTGGAACTGGAACTCAGCTCTTGAATTAATAACTCCAAGCCATTATCCAATACACCACCTGCACATCCAAGCTTACTGCACCTGGTATTCCCAATTTAGGTACTGACAAGACTCAACATTGCTTAACTTCAGTGATTGTCCAGGAACCAGCGTTGAAATGTGAAAGACCAAGAAGTCCATTTAAAGAAAATGTTCCTCCTGAGAGTAAAAAAACTTGCATTTTTCATTTCTTCATAAGAATACACTTTTAAGGCAAGTGTACCTTTACTAATTAAGCTACAAGAAGCCGCCATGACAAAGAAGGATTCAATTACCCTATCAAAGAAATGTTCATCTCTTGTTGAAGTCTTTATCTGCAGAACTTTATTTTCATACCCAAGATGTAGCCAAAGTAATTTTTAAGCAGTTAATGGAGTTTTAAATCTGATATTATTTCTTATTATGATAAACATTATAGAGGTGCCTCGTCAGATCAAAATTTTCTTATGGGTTTCATGAATGGCACCAAACCTGTTCAAAAATATCTAAACTCTCATCATTATACAAGTACTTTCAAAGATCAATCGATAAAAATAACTAAGCACATGAAGCCTGTTGATCTTGGCAAAGACCATCCCTTTTTGAGCATTGTGGACTGGCGCAACAGAATGACAGACCAACAACTGTGCCAAGTAACAGAAACCACATCACTTGAGAACTTTCAATGACAGCAAAAAGTAAAAAGGCATATCACATGTAACTTAAAGAGAAAAATGCTGACATAATCAAGGTGCTGATGTTCCACACTACTTCAAACAAAAGGTCAGGAAGGAAACCGCCATCAGTAAACCGCCAGAGAAATAACATAACAGCCATCAGGAAACCGCCAGAGAAATAACATAACAGCTACTGAACTTAAGAAACCTATTTTTCTGAAAAAATATTTGAAGAGAAAGATTTCATAAATTTTAACTGAAAGTAGTACTGGCTGCTCAGTCAGTGAATGTCAAATGTTTCCTTATAAGGAAATGGCTACTATTATCATTATCATATGTTTGAGTAGACTTCTGTTTTTTGTGGTGGTGGTGCGGGGGGGTCAAACAGTGGGATTAATATCAACCGGCCTCAAGAATGAGAAATCTTACTAAAATAAATGCAGCTCCTGATAGGAATTAAATGCGTATAGTTTTTTCCCCATTGGGGAAACTACTTTGAAGACAAAAGGATGAAATAATACAATTATTTCATTTGTCGAAGTGAAAGACACGAGGAACTGAGATTAAAATGTTTGATTGATTGAATACTACTTTTGCTTGGTATAATGTCCAAAACATATTGATGATGACAACAAAGATGAGGACAATTGGCGACATGTAAATAATGGTAATTTCTGATCCCAGAAATTCAGATAGATTATTTATTTATATTTGACTATCACCTACAGCCACATCATGTTGAAACACTAGTTCCCATATGATTACTGATGTTAAGCAATGTTGAGCCTGGTTAGAACCTAGATGGGTAACCACTTTGAAATACCGAGTGCTGTAAGCTTGGATGTACACATTGGGTTGTTTTTTTTTTGTTTTACGCCATACCAACACCTCAATGGGTTATTTAATGTCGACAAAATTTTTATTGCTGGTAATATTTTGTTTTGTCAAAAATCTATTTCTGGTAATATTTTTTTTCTCAAAAATGTATTGCTGGTAATATTTTTTTTCAAAAATATATTGCTGGTAATAGTTTTTTTTTTTTTCCCTTCAAAACTTTATCTCTGGTAATAATTTTTTAGAAAGTATTTCTGGTATTAAAACCTATTTTTACACTTACATAATGCTTTTTACCTCAGTTTGGGGGTTAACTATTTACCCATAGCTGGGACCCTAACAGGTGTTACTACCCTGGATGAGGGTGAAACTGGGAACACCAGCAGTTAAGAAGTGGTTCCACTCTCCTCAAATCCTCCTGATCAGAAGTTGGATGTAGTTTATTGTCTTACCCAGGACACAGATGTAGTTTATCATCTTACCCAGGACGCAGATGTAGTTTATCATCTTACCCAGGACGCAGATGTACATGTGATAATGGTTAGAAATTGTTAATCAGAGAGCCAAGTTCCAATTCCAGTTGGATTTGTTATATTCACTTATGTGCAAATACGCTTGGGAAAGGTATGTCCACCTTTTCCCCCTCCCAGCTATGGGTTAAGTGATAAAACATATCATTAAGCCATTATTGTCTCCCCAAAAAATCTCTTACAATTTAAAGAATATTTTCTAGCTTTACATAACTTAGAAATGGTTGATAAGCTTTGAAAACAAATCAGTCAATCAAACCGCTTTCTCTTATGTTCACACAGCAACCTAATGCCGTCACTTTCTACCTTTAGTGGCTCTTTGGCCTTGGTTAGACAATTAATAAAAAAAGAATACACAAAAAAGACTCTCCCTCTCTTTTTTTTTTTTCTTATTAGTAAGATAAAACAAATTAAAAAGGACGATACTGTCACCCATGGCGGTATTTAAAAATAACATCTGCAGCTGTTGGCACTAACTGTGCTACTTCTAGGCATGTTGATAATATGAATATAAATCAGATAATAGCGCTCAAAATGTAAATCTTTGTTTCAACCTGTTTATTTGTTTGCTGACTTTTCTATGTTTTTCGAAAAAAATTTTCTTTTTTCTCCTCCTGATTTCCTTGGTTAAATCTGTAGCTTTGACTTGGCTCCATTATTATCATTTGCCCACAGTTAAAGGTGGCTCTTGTATGTTTGGTGAAAAACAAGATAAGATGGAAGATGCTCTGTTGATGCAGGGAGATGCCTGATAGGGAGAGTCTTCAACATGGTTACCTGGAGAAGTACGAAAGCTGTTATCTTTTATATATTTTCTAATCATAATCTATGAATACAGGCATATTTGGTTCCTGTAGTGTAATGTAGAAGATAATATTCTTTTTTACCTTTACACACACACACACATATATATAAAAGAACAATTTAAGGAAAATATATGACAAAGTGGAAAAATTTGTTTTGTCATTTAGGACTTCATCGAACTAAAGTGATGTTCAAGTTAATGTTGTCACACAAACAAATGAATGGAGCTGAGATTTTGAATTTAAATTTTTTTTTATATATGTTTTTGTATATATAGTCCACACATATTAAAAAAGAATAAATTTATTTAAAATTTCAGCCTCCCCTCTCCTTTACATGGATGTGTAATCACATCAATGTAAACATCACTTTAAGCTGATGAAGTCTTAAAGGAGGAAATATGTCACACTAAAAAAATTTTCCTATATATATATATGTATATATATTTAAGCACTGTATTTTTATTCAAGCATGTATGGTTAAATAATTTAGACATATTATTCTATTTATTTTAGTTTTATTCCCTTCAAATCCATGAATTAATTTCTTAGTGGCTGTAGAAAATTGATCCAAAATTTTCTTTCAAATAATTTTTATTTTCTTTCATTTATAAAACTTAGAGCTAGGAAATGTTGTTTTCTTAGAAAATGATGACAATTTAGTCAAAGAGAGATGCATTGAAAGTGCCATGTTCTTTGAATCCCCCTATAGTTAACATAAAACTGGGATTCTTCAGTTTGTCACGTAAACTGGTGAGATTCCGCTACTTTCATTGAAAGTGCTTGGACAAACTCCATTCCCTGGTCCTTCTGAGGAAAATCTTCACAGCAAGAACACATCATACCACTTACATCATAGCAAACCATCCAGATTCCCTCTGTATTCTATTGGTGAGAAGTTCCACATAAACAGTGTCTTCCAGTGGTGAGATTCATCGGGTTCACACAAACCTGTTCTTGGAATTTTATGAGCTCAGCGAACCCGTTGCTAGTTGCAACCCGAACAAACAAACTGCTAAATTTAGTATGCCTGAAAATTGTAGTCACATAATTGGTTGAAGTAAATTCAGGTGATCAAATAAAGGTTAATACAAATTTCATGAACTGCTGAACTTGGTAGAGCCAGGAACTTGGTATATTCAAGAAATAGTTATGCAGCCCTGTCTATTCCATTGTACGAGATGGCTATTGACCAAATAAAAAGGTCCTTCTGTGTGTGATCAGTCTTACTTTTAATCTTATTGGGTATCTAGCCATCTGATATCTTCCTCCTTGAAGACTTATGAACATAGGGTCATTGATTCCATTGAAGAGGGACCCTCCACTGTGGTCTAGGAAGTCCTCCCCGACATTAATGCTCTGTTATCACCCCACTGGCTGCATACATAGCTATGCAGCACAGTTTACCCCATTGGTCAAGATGGCCATTGACCCAATAAGAAGGTCCATCTGCCTGTTGATAAGTCTTATTTTTAATCCTATTGGGTATCTAGCCATCCTCTTCACCAGAAAAGCCTGACAGAGGAACCAGTTTAGGTATTGATGAATACCCGCCCTCCACATGTTAGCTAGTACCTAGTTACATGCAGTGATGGGATTCAGCAGGTTCACACAATTTTGTGTAAACCTGTTCTTGGAATTTTATGAACTCAGCAAACCCTTTGCTATCTGCAACCTGAACAAATTGCTACAAATTGTAGTCACATAATTGGTTGGGGATGTAAATTCAGGTGATCAAATAAAGGTTAATACAAATTTCATGAACTGCTGAACTTGATAGTGCCAGGAACTTGGAATATTCAAGAAATAGTCATACTGCCCTGTCTATTCCATTGTTCCAGATGGCCATTGACCAAATAAAAAGGTCCATCTGCCTGTTGATAAGTCTTATTTTTAATTCTATTGGGTATCTAGCCATCCTCTTCACCAGAAAAGCCTGACAGAGGAACCAGTTTAGGTATTGATGAATACCCCACTCCATATGTCAGCTAGTACCTAGTTACATGCAGTGATGGGATTCAGCAGGTTCACACAGTTTTGCGTAAACCTGTTCTTGGAATTTTATGAACTCAGCAGACCCTTTGCTAACTGCAACCTGAACAAATTGCTACAAATTGTAGTCACATAATTGGTTGGGGATGTAAATAAAATTTTTCATCACAATATTCCCATTAATGATTTTTCTCTGTGGAAAATGTTCTGAAGAACTTTCAAAATCCTGTAATTCTTCAAATTGTACAAAAGCTATTATCAATACAATTACTATCAGTTCTTCCGAGGCAGAAGGAGATCTTTCAAGAATGAACATTATATACTCAGATAAAAGAAGCCACCTTACAGTGGAAAATGCTGCAAACTTGATGAAAATCTTATTGGTCTCCTTTTAGATTTGTGGGATGTCACTCCTTTCATTAAAACATGGCTTAGAAAAAAAAACACAGTACTGATGACAACAGAGTGAGGCAAAAAAAAAGCTGAAGACTATGATGGCAACCAAGTGGTTATTTGGAAATTTTTAAAATGAAAGATCATCAATAAAATATTTTAAAGCATTTCTTTTAATTATTTTTCCTTTCAAAATGATAACATCCAATGTAATGCAGATAAATTTTGGTATTTTTGAATAGATGCAAGAAAACATTGCTTTTTTTGTAAATAATATCTATATAGTAAGGTATGGATTATGGAAAAATGAGGGAATGTGTTGCTATTGAGACATGCTGTTGAGAGAACGTGTTCTTAAAATGTTTGAATCCCACCATAAGCTTATCCCACAAACCACGGGCCTGTGGAACCAACTCCCAACAGGATGTTTCACTGATCGCTACAATCTTAATATATATATATATATATATATATATATATATATATATATATATAGTATTGTGTATTTAGGCATCAAATGTTCTCTATTAAAGATGACAGACATTTTGTGTCAATTAATTTTAATGCTTGACTTTTCCAAGTTTACAAGTCAACCTCGTCAGACAAGGAGGAAATTCAAGCAGAAATAAATAGTAATAAATGGCAGAAAGAAATAGTAGTGTGTATTTTTATATATATATATATATATATATATATATATATAAAAATACACAATACTATATATATATATGTGACACAATGGGTAAATTGTTACATTGTAAAGGAAATTCTGAAACAAGTTCTTTATCCAATCAGTATGAAATGCCTCTCAACAAATCCTGGTTCAGCATTTCACGGTAAGGTACTTAGGATATCATCCCAAATAACTTATTTTCAAAATGCCAGACGTGCCATGATATGAACAGTTGGTTAGTTTGTTTTTAATCATTTCTAATATTCTTCCATCATTTATTTGGATTTTTGAGAAATGAGTGTTAGCCTATCCTGTGTGTCATGAAACAATACATCCCTCTTCCTTTTTCAAACGCAGCAGAAGAACAGATATAAAGTGGACAGTTTATACATTAAAATAACACCATTTTGAGTTCAGTTGTTATCTTTGTAAAATGTATAATCACTGAGAATTCTTAAGTCCTATTTAATCCTAAATTATTGGTATGAAGTTTGATAATGAAATTGCTTTTAGTTTTTCTACAGCTATAACCAAAGGATTGGTGATGCTTGCAATTGTAGTCATTAATAACCACTGGATTTTAAATTTAGCCCAGTTCAAAAACTGTTCAA